CTAGGCTTCTACCTTAACGAACCAGTTGTCGCTGTGCATACCTGATATGGGTTCCATGCGACAAATACAAACAGTGCAAAACACATTTTTTTATTTTAAGGAAACTCCACACGCGTGCTGCATGGCGGCTATGGGGATTTGATTTGTCGAGCAAAACAATCAATAAGTTGGCGAAGAATGATAAACATTGTGATTTAATAACAGACAGTACAGATAGACAATTCTTGTTGTTTTACATTTTTATTAAGAATAAAAGTGGGAACGAGATTAAAATCGCTTGGGGTCGTCGTGTAATTTTTATAGATAATTGCCGAGCTCAAAATTGGTGAAAAGTGGCTAATTTATCCATTTAAAAACATTTTCTTTAGTCAAGTACCGCCTCATCATGTAGGTATATCAAGGCCACTGATCGTGATGTGGAGTGAAGAGAATTTTCAGTGTAAGTGACGTCATCTGGAACAATTTTGAAATTTCGTCGTTCATAGCAAATGAAAGAAAATGTTGAGTATGCTGCAAATAACAATGTTGATCACGTGACAACACATTTACGAGAGTAAACTAACAGTGAATTAAAAATAGTATTATACGAATATATCTCGTTTTGTTTTGAGTTCAGAGTGACATCAGACAAGGGCGTGTAACTGTTGGCATGAGATGAACATCCTTAAAGTCTAGACGAAAACTAACAACTAAGTATGTTTGGTTAGTGTTCATCTTTTGTCATTGTGTACAGTCTATATGTGTTTCTCTTCATATGTCCTCATTCATCATCACTGTTTCCGCAATTAAGGGTGAAGACAACTCATATTACTTAAGAAAGTTTGTTATAAATCGGACGACAGCGTTCATTGGTTTATTATGTAAATGATGAATCGTCATTCTGGTGTGTGTTACAGTTCCGTTACTAATATTTTTCAAAAATGGTTATTTTTAAAACAAAATGTTAAACGTTGCAAATATGTATTTTTGTAGCCTTTCAAAACTTTTGAGACTTTTGAAATAATTCGGGATCACAAAATATATCATTCAGGATATATAACGAGTTTACTCTAAGAGACAATGATATGACATAGGAACCAATGGTAAAAGCGTTATAATGCTGACAAAATGGCATTCATTCACTAAAATTATTTTTATACTAACCGGAAGTAAAATTTATTGGAACATTTAATAAATTGTTGGTATTCACTTGTTACCAATAAGCGTCCACTTTCGAACGACGCATGGTGCTAAAGTTCCAGCCTTTTTTTTACCACGGCGGTCGGTTAGCATGTGTCACAGAGCTAGAATAAGTCAAAAACATTTGTTGATTTCCTGTGAATACATAAATTATAAGAACTACACATTTTAATTGTACTTGCTGAAAATATTGTAGTACGTATTTATCCGAAACATCGCATACTGCAAAGGATTGTCCATTGGCGATGTTTAAGCACTTGGGCGATCTTTTGGTGCCGCGAAAACAAATAAATACCGTGGAAACTAACGCGGTCGTAAAAATAATGGTTAACAAAGCGGTGTCGGCAGATTTTGCGAGAATTTCAACGACATTGTCGTTCTGATGGGTCTTGTAGAAAATTCACAGATCTGCCCCCCCCCCAAATAACACTGTGACATTCAAGTTACTTCTAAGATGGACAATACAAAAAAATAGGTACTGTAGAATACTTTATTTTCGCTTGGAATTTATTTTCGCTATTTTCGCTGAAGGGATGATTCCGTGAAAATAAAATACAGCGAATATACTTTTTTTCCTATATTTCACATTAAACTCATGAAAAATCAGTGAAAATAAATTCAAAGCAAAACGCCCAAAAAGCCTTTTCAGCAAAAATTAATTCCAGCGAAAATAAAGTTTTCCACAGTAATCCTTTTTTTCCAAAAAAATATATATAATGCAAGTTAAAACAATCCACACGCAAGCATAACTTCAAACTTACGTATCTGAGAGCTTGAGTAAATGCCTTTTTGGCTACACAGCCTAACACCTTACAGTCAGGCCAATCAGAGAGAAGTTTATTTTTCTTGACAGTTTTTTTTGACGAATCAATTTTTTTCTTTTATATATGCTTCGACTTAACTGGAGAGCTTCGTCGATCAAGCAGCTATCCAATGAAAGACGTGAATTTATGCATCGAGTCACTCGTTGCATCAATATATGGTAGCGATGAACTTTCAACAACATGCCACTGTCTTTCAAGCTGTCAGAGCGATGTTTTCTAATTCTATTCGCGTAGACTGAATAAATGTTCCAATCTATATGCATTGCTTTGAAGCATTTATTTCTTGCCTCATGCCCGTAGTAGTGTTTATGTCGTGAGTAAAAAAAGATTGAAGTTGTTGTTGTTTTTACTGTGTGTTGCGATCTTCAATAAGAATTCCATGGTTTCGTAAACTCGCTATGTCAAAGGTAACAGGGCGTAACATCAGCGAGTACCAATAGAGGGCTGTCACGTTTTACAAAATTTCTTTTTAAATTGCTTGGCAATAATAATTTCAGTGCTATGTTCTGCATACAAAGTTTGAAGTTGAACGCGAATTAAAAGGATGCACACTTAGATCGAACTACTGTGTTAGAAATCCGGTCTCG